AATAAAAAAGGGCGTTAGCGATGGCTATGAAATGACGATCGATGACATTTCCCATATAATTTTATATATAAAATGACAGCGATCTTCATTTCATAGTCATCGCTGACGCCGTTTTTATTCGGTCTTACGGTACCTATATCCACAAAGTTACGCGGAAGAGTTTTGATTACATATTTACAACTTCCCTGCGGAGGGTGTTAATCTTTTGTTGTTATATTATATCCTCGTATATGAATTTTTAAAGTAGCTCAACCTAAGACGTTTATGGATGTAAAGCACCAGATGGCGGGGCGTATTTGACAGTCTTTTGCTACAGAAAAATATTTTTTGTTACTCTGAATTTTGAAGCGACCAATAAAAACAGAGAAAATAAAAATCGATAATTGCCAATTGCTTACTAATCGACCAGATACTTTTTGTCTATTAGATATGCTATAAAAGCTGGTAATTATACAATTCGACCATTGTAAATACCCGACAAATTCCGCAAGGCCGACGAGGCCGATGTTTTGTACTGATAAGAAAAAAAAGGTTTGTTTAGAAAATTTTCGAGATATATTTTCTTTCTGAATGCACATTTTTAAAGTATTTTATATTCTTTGTCCGCTTGATCTTTAATACTGGTCGCACGCATCGAAGTTCTGTTTCTTCTAGTTTTAAAAAATGTTTTTATTTCTTTGTAGTTGTAGTGGTTGTAGTGTAAAATTAGATTAATTTTATTACGTTTAATTATAACGTTTAGTGTAGAATACCAGAAATACTTTAGTAGTAGTGTTTTTATAGTTCATTTTGTAGTTAAGTAGTAGGTGAAGGGATAATTTGGATATTTTTTCTTTTCGTTTGATTAATTAGTAAGTTTGATAATTTTTTCAGTGTAGAATACAAGAAGTAGCTGTGTAGTGTTTTTATTAAGAGATTATATTCGTTTATTTTGTAGATGAATAGTAGGTGAAGGTATTTGGGTATTTTAACAGCAATTAGCATTATCATAAATTATAAATAATGTACCAACATATCGAAATAATAATTTATAATTTCTTTGTTAATACGGTTTAGAATTCTTAAAATAACAGGCAAAAATAATCCACAATTTACAATAAAATAAAAGTTTCGTTTAAATTTCTTAATCAGCTGATCATTATTAAAGTTTACAGAAACCCGGGCTATATTATTACATTACTCTGAGGAAAATAGCGAAGATAATCGATATTTTTGACTCCGCCCCGAAAAGTTCACGATTTGTCCTCCAGTTGGCAGCACATTTTGTCTAGTCGGTTGAGCAACTTTAAGAATATATAAACAAGGATTATATTTAAAAAAAATTAACCCCCTCCGCAAAGAAGTTATATAATGACTATTTATAACCAGGAAGTTGCAAGAAAAAGTTTTGATTGCATTGGTTTCAACTTCTTTGCGGAGGGGGTTAATCTTTTTTTGATATAATATAACAGAAGATTAACACCCTCCGCATGGAAGTTGTAACCAATGCACAATCAAAACTCTTTAGTGCAACTTCGTGGTTATAAATAGTCAGATCTCGTTTGTAAAATAGCAGTTATGGGAAGGAGCCGGTCTTCTGGCGACCACCTTTCGTAATTCCAGAATGACCGAAAAAAACACGCTAAATTTAGGTTTAGCATTGGCAACGTTGCTTTAAATGCCAGAAACACATAACCCAACACTTTCAGATTGTTTACAAATTTATTTTAGCAAATTTTCCTCTATTATGCATAGAATTGGTTAAAAAAGTAACAGAAAATAGCAAAAACATCATTGTTTATTGAATACTTAACAAAATATGTGCTAGAAAACCTTAAAAATATGAGAAATTAATAAAAATTGGATGTTGAAATATTTTTTTCGTTTTTCTGAAAAACGGTAAGAGGCCGCACAGTGGGGTATTTGACACAGATAGTTGATCGAAATTTTTTTATGTAGACCTTATATAAATTATTGCTGTTTTCAATTAAAGAGGAAATAATATGAACAAAATAAAGGATAATTCGTCGATTCTAAAAAAAAGAAAGAAAAATCACTGTTCCAGTGTTTCCACGGTCAATGCCACTAATGCCAGTAGTAATATCGCAACTAATACCAAAGCTAATACTACTAATGCTGAGACTGATCCGTGAGCAATGCCGATACCACTAAAGTCGCTACTAATGCCAAATTGTGCTATACTGCTAATGGCACTAATGCGATCGCTTTGTACACAACAATGCCATCGCGGTTTACACCTCGCATTAGTATATCACTGATTGGCAAATTAGAGGAAACCAAGAATGTTTTTCTCATTTTATCAGCAAAGTCGCAAAAAGTCGCAGTATTTTATTTTACTGTATGAAATCCCAATGTTTACTAAGTAAAACGTATATAGACAATATGCTGAATTCTACGAAATGCGCAACTAAATCTCTAAGTATAATAAAAATGTCACAAATTTAATCAAATTTTCTGAACGCCTAACTTTTAGTTGCAAAAAAAAATCGTTAGTATAGAGAATATTAAAATAAATAATACGTTTTTGTAGAATACATACCTGCAGCTTGCTGAGCCATTTTCAATCAAAACAATAATATAAACGTAAAAAGAGCACAAGAACAACAAAAATTTATAATTTTAAACATAAAATTTAGCCATTTACCTCTTATCTGTGAGAAGTAACAACTTTGACGTTTCGTTGAAACGAATGAATGCAACTAAACACACCCATAGCAACGCCATTCATGGCAGACATGATTTAACTTATCATTTATCTTTTTTTGGGAAATCTTAAACACATTTGCTTTTTCGAATTTCGATCACCTTTTTCATGCTAATACCCCACCGTGGGCCGCCAGAAAAAAAAATCAGATTCGTAATCTACGACCTCAAAATAGGGTGTATACCAGTTTTGGTGAAAATCGGACGATTTCCAGTTTTCCCAAAAATTACCGTAATTTCTAATGCAGTAAGTTTATTTTATTGTTCCGCAATAAATGGCATGAAACTAGAAAATGTTAATTTTCAGACTACCGATTTTATAGCAATGACCTATACAAAAAAAAATTAACTAACCCATTCAAAGTACCTTTATAGATTTTCTAAATAATTTGATACAATATTCTAGACGAAAACAATCATATTATATTTTTTAACTATACAGGGTTGTTCACCACATACGACACGGAGTATTGTAGCTAAACGATTAGATTTTTACAAATTGTAAGTTTTGGGTTCGATGAAGGACTATTAGAGGTACAATTTAAAAATAATTTTACAAGATACAGAGTGTCCCAAATAAATAAAAAATATCAAAGTTGTATTTTTTTAAATGGAACACCCTGTATATTATTGCAGTTTTAGTTTCTACGATTAAAATAAAGGTAAATTTGATTAAGGTTTATTACACTTAAACCTTACAGTTTTTGAAATATTTTCAATTTTGTGAAATTGCAGTATAAATTTTAAGGGTTCATTTCTCCGAGGGTGTCAAAGTTTTTAATACTAAATATTTACTGAAGTTTATTTATTGATCAGTTATTGTGTTGCAATAATAAAAATTATACTACCTTATACAGAGTGTCTAAAAATTTATTTTAAATAATTACTAGCTTTAAACGGCAATAACTTGTTTAATTTAAATGGAACACCCTGTATCTTTTATGAGAATCAGATGCACAATTTAATTGTCATCCAAATTGTATTATACCATTTTTTACCTATCTCTTCAAGTTTCCGTAGAAAATGCATTTTCTTGTAATTTAAAACTGATTTATCAATATACCTATGGAATATTGACATTTTAGATTGTTTTTAAAACAACAAATGTACAAAATGTATTACATACAATTTTACATACAATTTGTATGCAAAAAGAAAACTATGTAAATCTTTATAAAAGAGTATACCATTAACTAAATATACCACCAGTATTTACGACTAAATACTAATTAATTACGTACTTAATTGCGTTCATTAATAAATTATTCTAAATAAATGTGGATTTGAATCAGAAATCTATATAATAATAAGTTATGAAAATCAACGTTTCTGTTGTTATAAATAAGCATTTGTCAAAAAATTAAATATCATTTTTAAGGTGTTGGTTTCTTACCACACTGTCTAATACACATACATAATTCAGTTTTTTAGTATTTGGAGCAATTATTATTAATCAACGCAAACAGTCAAGTAATGTAGTTTGAATACTCGAATCATATTAATTGGTCCTCTTTAACAAATATTTAAACAGTTTTTTTTTATTTTTTAATGAAATAAACGAACTATATCGACAATATTAGTATCTGTACTCTTTAAAAAGTTGGTACATCTTTAAAAATAATCTAAAATGTCAGTATTCCATGGGTATATTGATAAATGAGTTCTAAATTACAAGAAAATGCATTTTCTACGGAAACTTGAAGAGATAGGTAAAAAATGGTTAATACAATCTGATAGACAATTAAATTGTGCATCTGATTCTCATAAAATATACAGAGTGTTCCATTTAAATTAAACAAGTTATTGCCGTTTAAAGCTAATCATTATTTAAAATAAATATTTAGACACTCTGTATAACGTAGTAAAATTTTTATTATTGCAACACAATAACTGATCAATAAATAAACTTCAGTAAATATTTAGTATTAAAAACTTTGATACCCTCGGAGAAATGAAGCCTTAAAATTTATACTGCAATTTCATAAAATTGAAAATATTTCAAAAACGGTAAGGTTTAAGTGTAATAAACCTTAATCAAATTTACCATTATTTTAATCGTAGAAACTAAAAATGTAATAATATACAGGGTGTTCCATTTAAAAAAATACAACTTTGATATTTTTTATTTATTTGGGACGCTCTGTATCTTGTAAAAATATTTTTAAATTGTAGCTCTAATAGTCCTTCAACGAACCCAAAACTTACAATTTGTAAAAATCTAATCGTTTAGCTACAATATTCCGTGTCGTATGTGGTGAACAACCCTGTATAGTAAGTAAGTAGTAATTAAGAAATACCTAAAAATCCAGGACCAGCTGAACTATGACTAGAAAGTAACCTCTTTTTATGCGATACTGTTGTCCAAGGTCCAGCTTTAAGAGTATTTTCTTTTGGGGCTTCTTGTCTTTTAGCTACGCTTATAATACTTTTAGGAGGAGCACTAGCTACAATGATTAAGAAAATATACCGTGTGATCGAAAAAAATGTAAAGATCGCTGTCATATGTAAACATTTTACATATGACAGCGATCTTCATTTCATAGCCATCGTTTTTTCGATCACATTGTATAAGAAAATAACCTAACCTAACTTAACTTACCAGCTAAAGATCCTGAGAGACACTGCTCTTCAAATACATGGGGTTGTACATTAGAGCTAACACAATGAGTATTTGGTAAAATAGATATTCCGTTATTTGTTCCCGATGGAACACGGACATTATTTACTCGGCCGGAAGGATGAGAATGGAGAGAAATAAGCGCTTGACGTTTTTCTTGAAGTCGATTTTCGTTTCTGCCAAACAGCACCTGAGACAATAATAAAGATAGTGATAGTGAAATAAAATATAAATTCTATCTGATGAATATAATAAATTGACTTGACTGTAAATTTATTTCTTTCTATACTTGAGATGATATCCCAAGCAACACAGATAGTTCCAAATCCCTTAGGTTTAAGACTGGCTACCAAAACATAGTTCCTGGGTGCACCCTGTTACCTAATTTGTCACTATATCCGGTAATACCACTGCAAAGCATTTTTGGATAGTATCTGTTACCACCCTGTTACTTGTCATTTGGAATTTAAACACCCAAAATTAAGGTAGAAAATGGGTTGTTGCATCTAGTAACTGGGACTACGCAAATCCTTTCATTGTTACCACTAAGTGGCAAAATCTACATAGTGACAATAAATACGGAACGGCTACCAGCCTGTGCTACTAAAATGGGTGTATGAAGTACTTGTTACTATATAGTCCCATGCTTAGTCGCAGAATAGTCGCAGTACCCTATATTTTGGGTCTTAAAGTTACGAGTATTTGGATACTAATTGTTGGTCCCAAAATAGTAGCTGCGACTATGGTTTGTTACTATAAAGTAAAGGGTACTATACTCCTATTGACGTCTTGCTACTATAAAGTTATGGAAACTAAAAAATATTTCTTTATAGTAGCAGATCGCGTATTTACCCATCCTGTCCGTTACCACAAGAATAAAGATCAATAAAACTGTTTGTTCACTGCGCTGCGAGTGGAACTTCCTAGACAAGTTCACCAGGATAAAGGGTTTATTGGATTAAATTTAGAGAAGTATGACTGGGCTTTGATATGACAATAAATTATTTTAATTTTTTTTTTGAAATTCATATACATATTATTATTATGTATAATTGTCGTATTTTCTATATATTTGTAAAGTTCTTATAGCTGCATTTTCTAGGAATGTCGAGTTGGTGACTACTGATGAATTTAAAGATAAAACAGAGCTCAGAGAAAAAAGTAACATAAGACAGGAACTAAGGCGTTGGCCATTAAAACACCAAATTAGCCACATTGCTTTAACATATTTACGTGGTATACTAAAAAATGAAGGCTTAACATCATTGACAGGAAACAGCAGGACTTTATTGAGTACACTGAGATATTGTGCCATTGTTCCAATGGGAAATGGAGAATTTTGGTACAATGGAATAAGGAAGATTTTAGTAGCACGTTTATCCGAAGAGACCAACCTAGAATCGGTGTCTCTAATTTTTAATGTTGACGGCTTGCCTCCATTTAAGAGTTCTCCATTAGAATTTTGGCCGATACTCCTAAAAATGCATGAATATCCTTGCGATCAACCCATGGTGGCAGCTATTAATTGTGGCGAGTCAAAACCTCCATTACAAGAATTTTTACATGATTTTGTAACAGAATTAAATGAGATTTTGGAGACTGGAATTGAAGTAAATCAGATTAGGGCGAAAGTAAAAATTCGATTTTCTCATTCATCATTTTTTTTATTCAATTGTTTTTTGTCACTTCATGTTTCACCGGAAAAGACAACCTTTGATTTTTAAATGGCACCCTCAATATTTTTTGCTTAATTCAATAGAAAATGACACTCTGAATAGAATGACATATAATAATACGACATTTTCTCATATGGTTTATTTGAAATTGTAACATCGGTTCATAACGGAAATTTGACTCGAAATATCAAGTGTGTGGTACCAAATTATTCGTAAAAATGCTTTTTTCAAATATGATAATAAGTCATCCTCGTTCCATTTGAAAAAATTGAGATATGATTAAAAACACAATTTAGGCATCTTTTAACCAGTCAGGACAAGACACGAAAAACATTAAAAGATCAAATATATTTTTCCAAGGTTCCTAGATAAAAAATAAGTGTTCTTAAATTGTTTTGAGATGAGAGGTAGGTGGAACTTTATAGAAACATATGGAACTATATTGTCACACAATGCCTGATTGTCCGACTTTTTGGGTGTTCAAAGTAACTTTCTAGTTCCAGTAGTTACCATAGTGTACAAAATTTAAATACATTTAAGAATAACAAAGTTCCGAAGTAGTAGCCGATACTACAAAGTAACTTTTGAGTAGTATGAGTAGTAACAACTTAATCACTGGAAGTAGCGGATCTTTTAAAGTAAAAAATGGGTAGTCCCTGCTACTTCATAGGGAAGAGCCTAACTTTATCGTAGCGAAGTGTGCGTCAGCCATTTTTTAATGTCAGACATTTTTTAATTAAATTTATTTGTTAATATATTTTCATTTTTTCTTTATTTTCCCAAGTTTTATAGTGCTTTAAGCATTTATTTTTCCAATTAGAACTCGAATACACTTTCGTGTATTACGAAATATTATTTTTAATATTTTTGATATTATTTTTCCTCCTTAAATATCTACAAAATTGAATTAATTCAAAGGCGCGTTAAAATATTTCCATCTAACTCGGTAATGTTTGTCAGTAAAGTGACGTGCGTTATTATATTAGTCCTGGAAGTGTCCGAAATACGCGATTAAAAACCATCATTTTCCTCATAAACATAGCACGCCATTATTAACTTAACTTTAACATGGCCATGCACCGCGGCTGTCATATCATATTATTATTTTATTTCAAAACGTTTTTTAAATGTAGAGGTCGCTAGAAGAATGTTTTGCTACTATATAGTAGCAGTTACCAGGCGGCCACGTAGGGGCGACCAGGCCGCTACGTAGCAGGATAGTGGCCGCTACTACCCTTTCACTTTATAGTTACGAAATATAGTGGCAGCGTTAGTTCCTGGGACCACCCGGTATACTACCCCGTTACCCTAAATTCTTCCCCATTTTAGTAACAGTTACGTAGCGGCAACGTAGCCGTCGATAGTGGCAGTCTACTTGATGGTCGCTTTTGTAGTCCCAGGAACGTACCTGCTACTATCTGTGTTGCTTGGGATGGATACAAATAGCCCAACTAGCATTTATAGTGGCAGATACGTAACTGCCACTATCAAAGCCACTACAAAGTGGGCGGTTACCATCGGCGGCTACGTCGTATATTCGTAGCGGCTAAGTAACTGCGACCAAAATGGGGAAAGATTTTGAGTAGCCGGGTAGTGTCTTGGGTAGTTTTTGCCACTAAAAGAGTTACTATGATGTGTTACTATAAAGTAGCCTACTGGTGAATGCGACTTATCCGTTACGAAACTGCCTAGTCGCGGGTTCGTGGCAGCCAAGTGTTAGCCACCGACATGTGGAACTTTCGTTAAACTGTTGAACTTTATTCGCAGCGACCTCTTCATGCAATTTCACATTTCATAAAAATAAATGTCATGATGGAAAATAATATGGAAGCCATTATTATTTTTTCGTTATTTAATTTGTTATTTACCGTGCGATTTTAACGCCTTTTTTAGGTAAATTCTAGAACGCAATCAACTTTACTGAATAAAATAGTGGGTTTATATAACAAAATTTTCGAGCGCCTCTCAAAATATTTCAAATTATTATATTATTTGCAATAAAAACTCATGTTTGTAATTAAAAAATAATAATAATTTGCTTGAAACCGGGGTCAAATTTTAAAATATTAGTCCACCGTCAGAAATAACAAAATAACTAAAGAAAAAAGCTTTAATCTAGGTATATTTAGCTTAAAAACGCATAATGTTTGAGCCATTTGGCTGTTCGTCTAAAAATTCATGAAAAAAATATGGCCGTTTAATCCGAAAAATACTGTATAGTCCCATATGCTTCCACAAAGTACCGGGAACAATAACATATTAGGCCAACCCTACCCGTTTGAACCTTTAAAATCTTCGGATTGATAAAGTGACAATTGTAGCTATCCAAAGGCGACTTTATAGAAACAATAACTTTTTTGGAACTACATGGTCAACGATTCTTTGGAACCATAAAGTGATTTTTCCAAGAATGTTCCCTGCGCCACCAAATTACCACTTAATTGGAGCGTTGCTACACTGATCGTGGTGGTGGCGACTATACATTCCATTGGTGCCACTATAACGTTCCGCCTTGTCCTTTGAAGTTATTTTTTATTTATTGTGCATTTTCTATTATAAGTGTTTCTATATTATTCAGAGCTACAAGAGGTATAGAGTATTTTAACGCCCACTCTTTTAGCTCTTGTTTCATATTGTTATTGGTTCTCAAATTAGTTCTCCTCTGAGATTCAGTTTCAGATGAACTAACACTACACTCATCTACAGAAACAGCTTCAAAAATGTCTCAGTCACTAACTGATTTATGATGTTCATCAGTAGGACTATAGAAAGATGTAGTTTTTGTTTCTGATGTTGATGCATCGGCTCGCAGTGATTCATTTTGTTTAATTCTTCGATAGAAAGTACTAGATATTCTAAATTTCTTTTTATTCACCTTAGGGATTTTACAAAATTTTAATACAGCTTAAAAGCAAGTAAAAGAAAACATTAAAACAGAGCAGCACACTATGCAATCTGACGCAATTATATTTATTAGGGTATATTAAGTTACGGTCACTATAAAGTAGCCGTTTTTGACCCCCGTGACTTTTTAGTGGCAATGGATGTGCGACGGCTACTTTATAGTGACCTAGGAAGGTAGCAGTAACCATTTTGCTACTTTCAATGCTACTATAAATTAGAAGTAACTAGGTGTTGTGGCCGCGACTACCCCGTAACTTAAATTGTTACTATAAAGTAACAAAAACTTAATGGAGGCATTATGGTAGCACTTGTTGGTAACCCCTACTTTGAAAAGTTACTATAAAGTTTTTGGTCTTTTATGGTGTCATATTCGAAGATTCGGGTAGTTCCAACCACTTCTTTAAATTACATGTTTGCGACTTGTAATCGGGGTGTTTATTTTCCACTTTTATGGTAGGTAGGGACTAACCGGTCACTCTCGAAATATACTTCAAAGTGACTATTCCTTATAGAGTAACATTTTAAGTGGCAGATTGGGTCTAGGAACTATACTTTAGGGGCAGTGACATTTTAAAAAGGACTGGGAACTATATTTGCTAGTTGGGAGGTTTTATAATCCTTTTTTTAAGAGGTAAACCTAAAACTGCCTACTAAACCTAAAAGCCTACACTGTAGTAGCTAGGTTTAACACTTTTAATGGATAAACGCCTACTATTGAAAAAGCAAAAGTCTTGTCTTATACCGGGTGCGTCTCAAAAGTTGCTCACCCCTATAACTTTTTTATTTTTCAGATAAAAATACGAGATTTGATATGTTAGTATATGACATAAATTAGGATTGATTGACGTATTCTATTGTTTTGGTCACTTTCTGTTTCACCGGAAATGACTACAACTTTTGATTTTTAAATGGCACCCTCGGTATATTTCTACTTTATTCGATAGAAAATGACACTCTAAATAGAATGACATATGGTTTATTTTCGCATATGGTTTATTTGAAATTGTAACGGTTGCGGTTCATAATGATATTTTGACTCGAAATACCTAGTGTGTGGTATCAAATTATTTGTAAAAGATGCTTTTTTCAAAATGCTAATGAGCTACCCTTGTTCCATTTGAAAAAATTGAGATATTATTAAAAATACAATTCGGGCATCTGTTAACTGGCCAGGCTAAGACACGAAAAACATTAGACGATCAAATCTACTTTTCTAAGGCTGGTTCTATAAAAAATTAGTATTTTTAAGACAGGTCCACTCTAGATTGAAATTTAAAATACGATTTTTTTTAAGCGAAAATGTCAAAAGTTGATATATTATGATATGTTATTCTATTCAGAGTGTCATTTTCTATCGAATAAAGTAGAAACAGCCACGCAAGAGGCTTTTATGGTTGAGGAATTTGCGGCAATGGACAGGCTTGAGCGCAGATGAATTACTCCATGTAGGGCAAGATCGAGAGCTATACAGAGATATTGTTAACATGGCAGTCGTCAACATTCCCTAGGAACATGACACTTGAAGAAGAAATTAGAAATATACCGAGCGTACCATTTAAAAATCAAAAGCTGTGTAAATTATATATATTTTAGCCTATAACATAGGCTAAAAAAATTTTTATAGTATTAAATCTCAATAAAACCTTTTCTGCTTGAAAATAACGTTTTTATTACATTATTATCAGATGTTTTTTTCATATAATAAACTTAAAATTATTACAGTTGAGGGTTGGAACCTTTGGTATTACACAGCAAAATAAAAACACTAAATCACCACAATACACCAAAACACTTTTACTTTTACACTGATTATAAACTGTTATGTTCAGTTTATAATCATCTGCTGATGATGCTAACATGGTTAGCGAAACGCGCGTCCAGTGTAAAAGTAAAAGTGTTTTGGTGTATTGTGGTGATTTAGTGTTTTTATTTTGATATAATAAACTATTGAATAAATATTGCATCGTATCTCGGTCTCGGTGTCGTTCTCAGCCGAGAATTTCTTTTTCCCTCGATCTCGGCCAAGACTTTTAGTCTAGTTACCTGGATTTTTAATCCAGGTTTAAACTCACTGACGACCAGGTCGCAACGACCTGGCCGTGGGCTGGCCGGATGTATTGCGTTTATAGCTGCGGCCAGATGAACGACCAGTTTCAACAGAGTTGTCAGATCTAACGTTTCTTTACATTTTACCAATTAAAGTTATTGTTTCAGAAAGAATTATGTTTCAAAAATGTTAAAATATCCGAGTTAACTAAAAAGCGAAGTTGCTATTCATGAGCTTATTAAATGTTCTAATATTAAACAATGCATTTAAAATATTCTTGGATTTTTCGTTAATAAATACTGGTGTGGTAAATGGAGTAAGTAAAATCTCCAACCCCAACTACACAATAACGTCGTTATTTCCATGTTTTTCAAATCCGCGATGCCTGCTATTCCATCAGTCGTTTCATAACAGAATATTCTACATCCTACGTCTATGTAATTTAATATGTGTAGAGTGAGACATGTAACTGGTGAGATTTTCAGCATTATATCAATAAAGGACAAAAACAGTATTGTTCCTAAAGGTGCGTCCAGACTTGAGCATTTTAGCCCGAACGAACAGAGCGCGCACGAACAAGCAGAACAAATAGGCCGAACAAAAAGCATTGTGTACGCGCGACCGACAAAAAGGGAGATATTCTGTTTCTTTTTTCTACTGATTTGAACTTCTACTGATGGCCCTTATCGACTTTAGAAGTAAAAAACATATTAGGGCCATCGTAAAAGGTCGTCAGACACTGGCTCTAAATATACAGGTAGAAAGTTTAGCTCCAATTATTTCAATGTTTACAATAAAAATTCCTCTTTTTATTGTTACTGAGAATCTACAACAAAAGTTTAGCTTCCAATTATTTCAATGTTTACAATATAAATTCCTCTTTTTTATTGTTACTGAGAATCTACAACAGTAAATACTTCTATTTTTATGAATGTTTAAGTTACTTTTACTCTTATTTTTTTTAAATAATGTACTTAGTAGAAATATAGTCTACTGGACCCTGTGTGAAAAACGTTAAATTAAATATAATATTTAAAATACAGTTGTCCTCCCTTGTACTTGACTACAATACAATTAAAAAAAAATAATTTAATAAAAAAATAAGTGGTTGTAGAAAAACTTTAAATATGATTTTTTTATTTTTTAACATCGAAACTCGAAGGTATAATAACAAGTATCATACCAACCATAAATAGAGTATGTCATATAAAAATGTTTTGAATTTTTACTAGAATCGACCCTTGATAAAAAAGGGACTATACTCTGTTTTTTTTCACAGGTAAGATTTCGACAGACGATGACAGAAGAAAAGCAGATGACGTTCCATACCAATCTATTTATTTTACTAAAAAAAGTTTCTAATAATTTTTAAGTTATCTATGGATACGTTTAAATATAAATCCGTCATGCGTCGTGTCTTGTTGTTTTTAACCAGTTTTATTGGTTTATTTAAAAAATGACAGATCGTATTTCAATTTTATTGGTTTGACGGAATGTTGTTGTTTTTAACCAGTTTTATTGGTTTATTTAAAAAATGACAGATCGTATTTCAATTTTATTGGTTTGACGGAATGATGAACGACAAACGGACGCCGATGCGTATGAACTCGCCTTTAGATTTTTGTCATTTTTGACGCTTGTCAAAGTCTTGCCAAATTATAGGTTATAATTTTGTGTCAACTTTTGTTAAATGCCCTGCGTTTTGGAAGATGATGCATTTTTGATTCGTATTATTACGTGTGTTTTTTGTGTCTTCTGAAGTCAAGTGGAGGGAAAAAATCGACTGAAAATTAACTGTAGACCCAGAGCACAGTTTATGGTTAATACTCGCTGCCCAGGCAGAAAGTCTTATACACCAATGAAGTTGCCATCGATAAAGTTTGTATACCATTTCGTCGTAGATAAGTGCATCTCGTATATGGTAGAAGGATCAAACTAAACATATACTAAAAACTGGAGTAGCTGTAAAATATCGACATCACACGATAGGTAAATAATGGATTTTAATACTGCAGAAAAATAATGTCAAAAAGGTACTGGTTTAAAAAAATTAAGATTAAAGTTAATTAATCAACTTTTAAGGTATAAAATTTGGTAGGTGTTAATAAAATAGTTTGTTTTATTTACCTATGTTGTTTTTATTTATTCCTGTGGAATATTACAAAATGCGGGTAGTTTCATATAAAGCTTGAAAGTAAATAATAGTTCTATTTTATATTTTTTTTGGTATGTAGTGTCTTGTTCTTGTTTGTTTTGTATTAACACATACCGTTTTTATTAAATAAAATAACTCGATTACATTTTTTCAGTTTTATACAGTTTTTTCACCATATTTTGAAGTAATCACTTGTCATCTTGTCAATCAAATTTTAAATATTTCCTGCTATGCGTTCCAGCTGTGCCAACTTATTTCTTTGTAAAATAAAATAAACTACTTTGAAATTAAAATGACAGACACATCTATCACTGTCAAGGATCTTCTCGTTGGACAGACTATAGATTTAAGTTTCCCTTTGATCCAGTCTGTATACTATTTCTTTGGATTTTCTGCACGTGTGCAAAAACTACACTAAAACACTATATCTTATAGTAAATAAAATATTGTGCGTTGAATTTGAGGGATTTCATCTGAAAAATTATTAATTTGGAAGAAAACCGGCAACAAGCGGCAGAAAATTACAACGACCAACGGACGGCCAAGACGGTAGTGTGTGCGCGGTAACATTTGATTTAATGACTTGATTTAATGGCGATTAATTTGTGCGACCTGGTCGTCAGCGTGTTCGAGCCCTAATGGCTAGTTAAAATTAGAACTAAGTTACAGATATCGGGCCCAGACTTTAAGACTGGTGTTTTAACTACTGCACTATCTAATATACGCGTAAGATAAGTTAGATAGCTGGGGGTACTGAATAAGCGAACTTATATCATACCCTTCCAAGTTCTTGTAAATTATTGCATAACATTTTAGCCGACCATACCAATAGGTATGGTAGGCTATTAAGATCGGCAAAAAAAAAGTTTTTTTAATTTCACTCAAAATGAGTTATTTGGGTCACAAATGACCTAAATACAAAATATTTTCATGGTGTCTGTCTGTCTGTCCGTCTGTAACACGATAACTCAAAAACCGCTAAACCGATTTTAACCAAATTTGGTACAAAAAATACTGTGGCACCAGAGAATCTGGCCATTAGTTTTTGGTGGGGATGGGGGTTGGTAAGGAGGTATGGGAGGGGTTAAAATTTTAAAAAATCGTTACTCCAAAATTACAGTAGCTAGCGAAACGCGGTTTTCAATTTAAGATTAGGAATAATATTTGCAACAAAATTTGAAATAACATCAAAATCAGTCAAAATCGCAGTTTTTGAGATAAAAAAAATTGGAAAATTCCTTTACTTTGAAATTAAAAGAATTGCCTACCAACTTTTTGTTAACATATTTTAGTATGGGCGGCTATACGTGCCTTCCGGCGCCATTTTTTTTTAATTAAATGATAATAAGGTTAAATTATAAAGAAATACTTACATGTTCTCCAGCTGCTGTTATTAAATTTTTATGGGCAATTTCTAAATCTTCATAAGGTTGTGCCAAATTTTTCTTTCCTTCCTCAAAAACATTGTTTGCTTTTTGAAAATCTCCAACAGCTTCATAATAATACGCCCAAGCTTTATAAAAATCAGCGCAGCCAGTACAAAGGTTTTTTGATTTCATCATTAAGTATAACTCTAAAGGATTTGGGAACATATCAATCTAAAAAGTTTTATTAAATTTAGAGAAATGTACCATTGGCATATTAAATTACTTAAAATGAAATAAATAAAGTCCCAGTAAGTACAAATGATTTTTTTTAATGCGTAGATGGTGGTAGATAAAAACCCAATATTATATATAAAAGAATAACATTATATAACTGTTTCTTGCCTTGAACTGCTAATATAGAAATTAATTCCACGCTGTGTTCGTCATAATGTGGTTCGTCAACCTGCTCTCACTACCGGTTTCGGGGCCCTACCCCATCATCAGGTGAGCTTGGGTATTTCCACAAAACGACGAGCACAGCGCAGAATATATAAATACGACTTGTCGTAAAGTAGCGGTAAGATATTAATGGGGTTCGTTATTATTTTGGGGTTCGTTGAAGGACTATTAGAGCTACAATTTAAAAATATTTTTACAAGATACAGAGTGTCCCAAATAAATAAAAAATATTATATAATAATTTAATATTATTACATTTTTAGTTTCTACGATTAAAATAAAGGTAAATTTGATTAAGGTTTATTATACTTAAACCTTACCGTTTTTGAAATATTTTCAATTTTGTGAAATTGCAGTAAAAATTTTAAAGCTTCATTTCTCCCAGGGTATCAATGTTTTTAATACTAAATATTTAATGAAGTTTATTTATTGATCAGTTATTGTGTTGCAATAATAAAAATAATACTACCTTATACAGAGTGTCTAAAAATTTATTTTAAATAATTATTAGCTTCAAACAGCAATAACTTCTTTAATTTAAATGGAATGCCCTGTATATTTTAGGAGAATCAGATGCACAATTAAATTGTCTATCAAATTGTATTATACCATTTTTTACCTATCCCTTCAAGTTTTCGTAGAAAATGCATTTTCTTATAATTTAGACCTCATTTATCAATATATCTATGGAATATTGACATTTTAGATTGTTTTTAAAGCAACAAATGTAAAAAATGTACAGACTAGTAATATTATCGTTTTTAGCAAAACGATAATATTACTAGCCCATTTGTATGCAAAAAGAAAACTATTTAAATCTTTATAAAAGAGAATACCATTAATTAAATATAACACCATTATTTCCGCCCATATACTAATTAATTACATACTTAATTGTGTTCGTTAATAAATTATTATAAATAAATGTGGATTTGAGTCAGAAATCAATATAATAATAAGTTATCAAATTAAAGTCTCTGTTGTTATAAATAAGCATTTATTAAAAAATGAAATATCATTTTTAAGGTGTTACTTTTTATCACACTGTCTAATGCCCATACAAAATTCAGTTTTTTAGTATTTGGAGCAATTATTATTAATCAACGCAAACAGTCAGTTAATGTAGTTTGAATACTGGAATCATATTAATTGATCCTCTTTAACAAATATTTAAACAGTTTTTTTATTTTTTAATGAAATAAACGAATTATATCGACAATATTAGTATCTGTACTCTTTAAAATTTGGTACATCTTTAAAAATAATCTAAAATGTCAATAGTCCATGGGTATATTGATAAATAAGTTCTAAATTACAAGAAAATGCATTTTCTACGGAAACTTAAAGAGATAGGTAAAAAATGGTATAATATAATTTGATAGACAATTAAATTGTGCATCTGATTCTCGTAAAATATACAGGGTGTTCCATTTAAATTAAACAAGTTATTGCCGTTTGAAGCTAATAATTATTTAAAATAATTTTTTAGACACTCTGTATAAGGTAGTATTATTGTTATTATTGCAACACAATAACTGATCAGTATATAAACTTCAGTAAATATTTAGTATTAAAAACTTTGATACCCTTGGAGAAATGAAGCCTTAAAATTTTTACTGCAATTTCACAAAATTGAAAATATTTCAAAAACGGTAAGGTTTAAGTATAATAAACCTTAAGCAAATTTACCTTTATTTTAATCGTAGAAACTAAAAATGTAATAATATACAGGGTGTTCCATTTAAAAAAATACAACTTTGATATTTTTTACTTATTTGGGACACTCTGTATCTTGTAAAATTATTTTTAAATTGTACCTCTAATAGTCCTTCATCGAACCCAAAACTTACAATTTGTAAAAATCTCATCGTTTCGCTACAATACTCCGTGTCGTATGTGGTGAACAACCCTGTATATCTTTACAGTTGGCTGTGTCGTCATTAGGAAATATCAGACCCACAAAAAGGAAATACAACTCCTCCGACTCCCGATGGAGCAATAGAGGCAGCTCAGCAATGGAGGTCATTCTAGACCTAAAACCACTGCACATTAACATCGGTAGATATGCAAATGCGACAATGATTGGAATGGTTATTGACGGAAACGGTACTGGGGGAACAGTCAACTCAGGGGTTTGGAACACCTTCAAAAAGGAAATACCACACCTCCAACTCCCAATGGATAACATACCAAGAATGTACAACTTTGAAAAACACCTCAATGTAGTATTGAGCAATAAAAATAATTGGAAGAGAGAAAGTTTGCTCAGCAGTTAAAAGACCATACCATAACTTGGTATACTGATGATTTCAAAACCAATGCAGGAACAGGGATCGAAGCATTTGGGCTGAGAACTAAATAATCCATACCAAACTCCGTACCAATGGGCACCTACCCTAGCATCCTGCAAGTAGAAATCCTGGTGCTGAGAACTACCCTCTGTAAAACTGTAAAACAGATACTGGCTTTTGTCAAGTCCCTGGGACTGTGTGATGAGTTATAACTCAAGAAAGGGGGACACAATAAAAAAATGTAAACTCAAGTTTACACTTGATAACGGTCAGTGATCCTTACTTACACTCCGACTTACTAGATTGCCATAACGACTCACTCCTATACATGTAAACGCCGACCCAAAGGTTCGCTTACCAGCAGGGTATAACGTATATTCGTGTATTATATAGAATATAATCAAAAGTTTCTTTCTTCATGCGTACATAACCATGAAAAAGTAAAGGATCAATAAATAAGTCTTCCATAATGTGATGAAATTCACCGAATTCATTTCTTTTTACCGAACCCATTCTCTTCTACGATAGCGACGACGCACATTAGTTAAGATTCAAAAAAATCGACGCATAGGGGTTAAGAAAAAAATTTCGAAAATTTCAACAATGATATTATTTTCAACAGATGATGGGTCCATTTATTCAAATTTATCACGATCCACTTTTTAATCGTAATAAAAAAGCGTAGAGGAATGTTGTTTTTGTTAGATTTTGTAGTTTAAATATATCAGTTATTTGCTGATAATGGTTTAGTGTTGCTAATATATTTTGGTTCTTAGTTCAGAAACTTGGAAATAAATTAAATTATAATGGATTTTAAAGACCAAGGTAAGTGCTTTTTAAGAGAATTTTATTAACTTAAATATATTTTTATGAAGCTAGTAGTTACCACAAACATAGCAGAGGGTTTTTTTTGGAAAAAAAACTTTGAAACTGCGTATCATTAGAACTCCGCAGATCTCCGCTTCTGTATTTTATAATTTTTAAAAGGTATTATACCAAGTTTAATTTACCACAAGTATCTTACCCCAAGAGACCCAGAGGTAGATGATTTATAATTAGAATTTTAAGTTGACCAGTAGTCTGATTTTTGTTCCATGGATAATTTGTTAAATTATTATACTAATACTTTTTGAGTAACTCTGGAGTGGTAAAAGTGTAACTATAGAGACTCACATGTTCCTCCCGTACTTTATTCCTTTTATTTTTAGGAACAATAAGCCGCAGATCAATGTGAGAGGTTTTTGAAAATGGATTTTAATAATAGGTCAGAAGCTTATATTATTGATGAAATTATTTCATTTTTGTGTGACAATAATATTTCTAACATATTATCGAAAAAAAAGCAAATTGAAAATTTTGTTAATAAATGGTCAGAAAAGTGGAGCACATGTAATTATACTTGGAGCAGTTTTATTTCCAACAATTGTCTCTGGCTGAATAAAAATTTACTTCAAATGGAAGAGAATCAATCTTTTGATGACTCTGGCTCTTCAAGAAGAATTTTTTTTTCAGAATTGTCCAAGTCCCAAAAAAATAAAGAGACCAAAGGTTGCCAAGGAATTAATTTATCATATCTTACAGAAAAAAACATATTTTTTTATTTACATAATGCTGCAAATTTTGCATTATTGCTTTTAATTAATGGCAAAGATTAAAAATCAATTTATTTCTAGAAATTAGAGATTCTTACACCTCGGAAGTTTTGGCATATGCTACAGTTTCTAATTTAAGGAAGGAACATAAAAATGAGACGGCAAAAGCAGTCCAACTAGGCTTTGAATTTCCAGAGAAAGAAAAAAAAATTCCAGAAGAACTAGGCTTTGAATTTCCAGAATAATATTTACCCGCAGATGACACTCATATGGCAACAGAATATTATTGTCAATCAGATAGTGAAGAGGAACTAGCTGAAAGTGGTGGTGAATCATGTCATGAAGAAAATGAGTTTAAAGACTCCGCTCCATTTAACGCATATTGCAATTTATGTTTTTTTCTTTAATTTAGACCAGATAACCTAATGGGTATTCTTTTTTTGACTAGGTTCGAAGCATTTTTCAAACCTTTTTAAAAACCATAATTTTTGAATAAAATTCATAGAAAATCCCTCTTTTTTAATATTTTTATACTAAACAAACATAGTCTAAATTATGTTTTAAATTATCCCTTGGACTATCTTTGTCATGTTAATAAATCCGCCATTAAACCTAATAAGTCTAGAATTTGTAATAAAATTAAAAATATCCTATGCGCCACTTTTTGGCAATCTGAACCACTGTGCGACGCCGCCGCAGTCTCCATAGAAGAGAATTATCTTGAAGATACAGATTCATTGCGCTCCAAAGAGGACTCCACGAGTGCGATATTTATAACAATGTCACCGAAACACTGCTGTTTGACGGAGTTTGACTATCGATACGGTTCGTGCGATACAAATTCGCATCTAAAGTGCGGCCGGCCTTAGAGTTGTGTAGTTTGTGAACGAACTAGTTCCAATGAACTAATCCGACCCCGAATGAAAGGAACTAGTTCCCAGTTTTTTCAAAGAACTAGTCCCTCAGGACCTATTCTGGGATATATAATATGCGAGGGCGACGGATCGGCCAGCACGATCGTAGCCCGATGCTAGGCATGAGTGGGGAGTTCCAGCTGTATTTTATCGGATCCGGACCTAGAGGAACTAAATAAAAGACTAATTTACGTACGGATCGGCCTGCGCGATCGTAGCCCGATGGTAGGCATTAGTGGAGAATGCCAGCCGTATATTATCGGAGCCGGATATAGAGGGACAAAATAAAAGACTAGTTTACGTACGTTTCCGCCAGCGCGATCGCAGCCCGATGCTGGAGCTGCACCCCCCAAGAGTGGGGAGTGCCAGCCGTATGTTACCTGTCCCGGACCGATAGGACTGAGAGGAACTAATTAAAAGACTAGTTCACGGGAATCTATTCAGTCGGCAGATCCGAGATAATATCTATATTATAATACAAGGCGACGACGATGGATTCGGCCTTGTCTATTGCCATAGCCGGCGTAATTACCACTGAAAATTGTCGTGGATACTGTTTTTGATTTTTAGTTTGTTCTTTGAATATTTTATGGAAATGCTTCACTTTAGGTCTCTAAAATTAAAAAAATGAAATATCTTATAAAACGAAGTAGATATTCTGAATTTTTAGACAAAAACAAAAAGCTCGAAGTGATGAAAAATTCTATTTTTCGTAAAATTTTCGTATTATTTGCTCCAATTGATTTGTGATATAGTTTTATAAACTCTGATTTGAGTTTCTTTTTTAATTTTTTTTTATCTGTAATAAAACTTACCTATAAGTTTTTAACGTACGCAATTACACGTTTCGTTATATTTCGTACATTATAAAAATTATACAGATCATACTGTGAATAGTTCTGACTGACAACGAAACCCATTAGCAAGAAACGGAGATGTCAATGTTAGTCGGGAACTATTGTGAACTAAAGACCTAGTTCAAGGAATTATTCCTCTGAAGGAACTAGAACTAAGGAACTAGTTCCTCCCAAGAAACTAGAATTCCCACATTTTTTTACTAAAAGATAGCTAATTGGCTCTTCTAAAAACCGTCTTCGCCGGATTTTTTTTTCATTTAATTAAAAAAAATAAAAAGTACATATTTTTTTTTCCTGATGTCGTGGCGGATGCGCCAGGCTTCAACTAGTATATATATAATGATAGATAAGCTGGATTTGGTATGTATATCAAAATATATCTATCACAATATGTTAACAATAACGCGCTTACCTAAGTCCTTCAGTAGTGAGCTCAAGTAGCAGAAAATCTACATAATCTGCCATACAAATACCCAGTAACATTGGTATGTCATGAAAAATATCTTTTTGTTAAATGTACTTTATGTACTTTTAGTTTTTTAATATTTTTAGTTTCATCAACAAGATGACTATTTTCAGTTCAAAAGAAGACATATGCAGAAAGTGATAAAAGAAGAATGCATATTTTTGTTTCAATCGATACCAAATATTAAAATCTGATTATAATAATTAATATAATTAGAACTGAAATATAATTACAAAACTATGTTATTAAAATGACAAAAGACTTGTCATTGTTATATTCTACAATAGCGTATATTGTATAAAAACATATATTTTTTATTGTACCAAAATAACAATAAAAATATTGTAATTACATGAAAAGCTTTTTTGGGTACATATTTTAGAACCTCTTTATTTAAGCTGGATTTATAAACTCGGAAGTTGGCGTTCAGTTGAGGTTCAGTTGCAGTTGGATGTTCGCGGCAGTTGAGGTTCAATATTTTTGCATTTATAAACTGTCAGTTTCGGTTGTAGGTTAGGTTTGGAATTGTGAAAATTTTGAACGTTTTTCTTTCGATTTAAAAATACTTTTGGTATTTGTCAAAGTTCAAACACAGTAATCCACGATTACGCAAAATATAAACATTACATTAACAGAAATAATGAAACAACAATAAGGGTCATTTTCCAATGCATCGGCATACTGTGCTTCACGTGATCGACAGGCGCTTATTCATTGGCTGTCGCCGAACGTCGCCAGCGGTCGCCAACTGCCCACAACTACCGACATAAACATTGACCATCTTTGAACTCCGCTGAACGTAAAATGAACTGCCAACTTCTCACCCAACTGACTTTATAAATGCGCGCGTTCATTTCTTAGTGTTGAACATTTTGAACGGCAACTGAACCTCAACTCCCGAGTTTATAAATCCAGAGGCTTAGTTATTCCCATTGCCTTAGCTCTGAGCTAAATTGTAGCCTATGATTATTATACTTAAATACATTAGATAAATAACAAAAATGTAAGTTTTCAAGATTCTGATTACAACTCACATATTTGATCCACAGTTTGCAAAACCTTCTATCATTTGTATATCTAGTATCATTTTCAAATATTCCAAGACAATGTTCTAGTAATGCTATACAATTTCCTTCATGGCCACTTTTAGGATAACTCTCCTCAATCCATATAATATAGTTGTAGTAATTTTCTAAGGGATCATTTCCCTCGTAGTTACTTATTAATTGTTCATATTCTCTAGAATGTTAAAAAGCTTAGCATGACCAAATATAATTCCAAGTCCACTTACTCTTTTTGTTGTAACAGTTGCATTTGATATTCCTGATTTGTTTGGGCCTGTAGGGCCATTTCTAATTGCTGTGCATTTCTACCTCTCCTAAGAGGTTGAATATTTTCTTTGCTGTAATCAAACTCCATCGTCAACACGGTCAACACTTTGACATTACAAATTTAAACTGTCAAAGATAGCATCAATAAACAGGATTATCCTTTCTGAAGTTATCTGTATCAAAGAACTTATTTGACACAAAACTGGCAATATTTAGTTAACACGATACATTTCAGCTTATTTCTCGTACTTCCAAGTAAATACTGTAACCATAGTTTGCTGAGGTTTACCTTTGGTTACTCTTGTTTTGTGTTTAACGAAAAAAATGGCTGAGAGTTTCAAAAAGATGTTTCCAGGAAGTTTGTCCAACATTTAAAGTAAAATCCCTAAATGACAAGTAATTTTACCAGCTGTGTAGAAATGTGCAAAAAAGGCGATGCATTAAGAATGTTCGATACGTTCTATATTTTAACCACAGAACAGATACAAATCAGAAATTTCACTGAACGGCGGTGCCTTTCAAGTGTGTTATAAGAGGATTTTTACACACAGAAACGGTCAGCCGCTGAGCAAAATTCCCAGCGGTCTGATAGCCACTGTGTTTCCTGAACGCGCACATTTACTAAGATAAATTTCTGTGCACGTTTCATGTTCATTCTCCTCACGCTCCTCACAGAATATACCACGAAAAATTGTCCATCAATATATCTCTGAATCCTTGTTTATCTACTCTTTGACTTGGGCATGACGTGGATACGGTGGCTGACCGGATCGAGTTTTAGCTGCATATCTTAGCTGCATATAGTCACGGATACTACGCATGCGCAAATGCACATATTGTCGATGTTGCCAAATTGCAGGTTATTTTGGAATTATTTTTAGTAGAAAACAAATATGTGCTTTTCAGTGTTTTTTTTGTCAATATATACAGTATGATCGAAAAAAGGCGTCCAGTTGGCTAGGAAATGACGATTGAGGACATTGAAACGAGTTAACTATATATGTTAATTATAAAATAACAGCGATCTTCATTTCATAGTCATCGCTGACGCTATTTTTCTTCGATCATAGTATTATTTATTATTTATATTATTATTTCAATATTTCGCACAACACGTGAACGCTTATTATGTATTTTCATAGTCAATAAAATTAAATAGAAATAAAACTCTAGATTCCTATAATTAATCTAACTGCTCTAGATTATTATGCTACGTTTAAAAAGTGCTTTATTAAAAATTCGGAAAATTAAAAGGGAATTTTAATGCAGCTCCATATCATGTTCATAATAGGTTTTTTTAACATTCCATTAAAACTACGGAGACTTTTAGCTTCCGTAATTAAAACTGTAGAATCAGCTTCAGCAACCAGTTTGAACCAGTTATGTTTAATTCTGCTTATATATACAGGGTCCGGCAATAGTGCGTCGGGTATCTGTAGCTCCTAGAATAAAAAACTTGGGAATTTTGTTTAAGTGTAAACCTAAAGCTGTGCCTAAAATATGTACAAAGTTGTATTTCAGGAAAATATTTTAACTTTTATAGGGTGGCTCAAAAAAGTGTGACTGGATCGGGATGATTTTTTTTAAATGGAACACCCTGTATATTATTGCATTTTTGGCTTCCTTTCAGATCACTTTACAGGGTGGGTCAAATTCGACGCTTTTAAATGGAAACACCCTTTTCTATAGGAGATAGACAAAAACTAATATCGGTGTCTGGAGCTCAATTTTTTATCAAAAACATGATGGTGAAAACCGCATATCGATATCTGTTACCGTTTCGGAGTTACGGGGTGTTTTTCAAAAATATGCATTTTTAACAAATCGCTGTAACTTTTTTGCTATGGAAAATTTTGTATTTTTATGAAAACATTTCCAAAGCACCTTTTTACGTGGAATTTAATGGTTTAAGTATAATTTTTTTAAAATTAATAATTGAAGAATTATCAACAGAAAATTGGATTTTTTATATGGGACATCCTGTATATTTTTAATTTATTCAAAAGAATTTAAAACTACTTTTTCAAAAATATAACACACTTGATATTTTGCTCGATTCCTCTTCGAGATATAGAGTATATAACAATTCGCCCGCTTTAAATAAGTAGGCTTTGAACGGCAACGGCTGTAATGCAAAAAAATTCTAGCTGTGAGCATCAATTAAAACGAAAATAATATTTGCTATGAGAGATGCAGAATTTTTAACAATTAAAAATATATTTAACCAACATCAACACATTTAAACTATATCTAATAACAATAAAAATAAATAGCAAACCAAGACATGAGATTTTGTTACATACAGATGTTCGACATATCGACCGTCTTCTGTAATGGACAGACGGGGCAGTTTTTGAACATTTCTCGCGGAATTCATTAACTCAGTGGGGGTGAAAGATACCCTCTCATCACTGCTAAGTATTTCTAATTCTTGTCTAGATTATACGGAAGAATAAGGAACCTTTATTCTTCCGCAAATATATCCATAGGATTAGATCCATTGGCACTAAGTCAGGCGCCCGCGACGGCCAACGGCTGGGATCTTGGTTAATTATTCAATTATTCTTGAAATTGGCTGCCAAAATTTCCTGATAACTTCAGCGTTCAGAGGCGGTGCGTCGTCTTGCTGGAAAAATATATTTTCGAGTTAAAGGTTAAGGGCATATCATCAATAAGGGGTCCAAAGCCTACTAGTTAAAAGTGGCGAACTTTTGAAAATTCTGTATTTCGAAGGGTATTATAACAAAATATCAAGTGTGCTATATTTTTGGAATGGTAATTTTAAATTCTTTTCAGTTAATTAAAAATATAGAGGGTGTCCCAAATAAAAAATCAATTTTTCTGTTGATAACCCTTAAATAATTAATTTTAAAAAAATTATACTTAAACCATTAAATTCTACGTAAAAAGGTGCTTTGGAAATATTTTCATAGAAATACAAAATTTTCCATAGCAAAAAAGTTACAGCGATTTGATAAAAATGCACATTTTTGAAAAACACCCCGTAACTCCGAAACGGTAACAGATATTGATGTGCGGTTGTCACCATCATGTTTTTGATGAAAATTGGGCTCCAGACACCGATATTAGTTTTCGTCTATCTCCTATAGAAAAGGGTGTTTCCATTTAAAAGCGTCGAATTTGACCCACCCTGTACATAATCCTAAGATATGAATAAATATATTTCGATAGTTTCAGAGATATTAATAAATAAATAAAAAAAATATATTTTTCAACCTTTGTTAAAAAAATATTACAAATACAAGAACTGTCCTAAAATGAAAACTATATTAGGTATTTACTTTAGATGGTATATACTTAACTTTGCTATAATTATCGTAATCTTAATCTCGCTTATTTCAGACTTATTTTGATATCCAAAATTAAGGTAAGAAGAATAATGAGGATTTTGAAGTTTAAGTAAAGGGTATTATGATTGTAATCGGAGTTGTAAGTAATATAATATTGTAATAGTAATAACATTTAATTTATATATTTACATTAGAATTAAAAATTATCATTTACGGATTTTTTCTTATTGGTTTTTAACCTATTAGAATTATTTTGTATCATCAATATGACACATTTATTACATCCAAGTTATTTAGTTTCTAGTATTTGCAGGCAACAATAGTTTTGATTATATGAATTATACAGGGTCCGGCAATAGTGCGTCGGGCATCTGTAGCTCTTAGAATAAAAAAACTTGACATTTTGTTTAAGTGCAAACCTAAAGTATGTACCAGGATGTATTTTAGGAAAATATTTTAACTTCTATAGGGTGGCTCAAAAAAGTGTGAGTGGACCTTGATGATTTTTTTTAAATGGAACACCCTGTATATTATTGCATTTTTGGCTTCCTTTCAGATCACTTTACATAACCTAAGATATGAATAAATATATTTCAGTAGTTTCAGAGATATTAAAAATAAATCAAAAATATATATTTTTCAGCCCATTCTTAAAAATTATTAAAAATACAAGAACTGTTCTGAAATCAAAACTATATTAAGTACTTACTTTAGATGGTCTGTACTTACTTTGCTATAAATATGAAAATCGTAAATTATACAGGATGTTCAAATTTGCCAAACTTTCTAAAATATAAAATAATTTTCTTTGTTTTTTAAATGGAACACCCTGTATATTATTTTTCAATAGACTGAGAATTAAAAATGAACATTTTTGTATTTAGAGTATTTCAAAATTTTTAACGGTTTCGCAGATATTTGCGGGTTTATATTTCATATGGCATTTTCCACAGTAAATTTTTATCAAAGCCACCCAATGATTTTTCTCTCGTATTTTACCATTGAAAGCGCCATATGAAATAATACTGCGCGTATCTACGAAACCGTTAAAAATTTTGAAATACTCTAAATTCAAAAAATGTTCATTTTTTAACTCTCCATCTAATAAAAAAATAATATACAGGGTGTTCCATTTAAAATAACAAAGAAAATTTATTTTATATTTTAGAAAGTTTGGCGTAGAATATTGAACATCCTGTATGATTTACGATTACCATATTTATAGCAAAGTAAGAACAGACTATCTAAAGTAAATACTTAATATAGTTTTGATTTCAGAACAGTTCTTGTATTTTTAATAATTTTTTTAAGAAGGGCTGAAAAATATATATTTTTTATTTATTTTTTAATATCTCTGAAACTATCGAAATATATTTATTCATATCTTAGCGTCATGTAAATTGATCTGAAAGGAAGCCAAAAATGCAATAATATACAGGGTGTTCCATTTAAAAAAAAATCATCCAGGTCCACTCATACTTTTTTGAGCCACCCTATAGAAGTTAAAATATTTTCCTGAAATACATCCTGATTAAACAAAATTCTCAAGTTTTTTATTCTAGGAGCTACAGATGCCCGACGCACTATTGCCGGACCCTGTATGTATTGAAATACCGTATGGTCGAAAAAAACGGCGTCCATTTGGCTTGGAAATGACGATCGATGACATTCCCATATATAATTTTACATATAAAATGGCAGCGATGGTCATTTCATAGCCATGGCTGACGCCGTTTTTTTTTCGATCATACGGTATTACCCATGTATTACCGCATGACGAGTCTTGAGATAGAGGTAACATTTTACCTAGTTTGATTATAATGTTTGTATTATATTTTTCTTAAATATATGAAGTTATAGTGGATATAGTTTAAACACGGTTTAAATATCTTTGGTTAATAGCAATAATTGTAGGCATATAGTTTATCGAAGAATGCTGATAGGATTAAAATAAGCTTATTTATGCTTTATCTTTTTCTCTTTAGAAAGGATATGGTTTGTGTCGTAGAATACATTACAGTATTTAATATTATGTACTTTGATATTCTTTTCTTAATTTACTGTAATTTTTTTCC